ACTTATACGTGATAGTTTCTCAATATTTTGTATTTGCCAAGATACTTTTGTCACAATTGTTTCTATAAATCTATTATCTATACGATAAAGAAGAAGTTCTGCAGTATAAACTGTACTATACATACTATAAATACAAATATTATAATTTCAAATATAATATAATTTCAAAATCGAAAGTCCAAAGTCCAAAGTCCAAAGTCCAGTCCAAAGTCCAGTCCAGTGTTTACAATATTGGCATACATAATGATATGGAAAGCCAGAACTGTCTTAAGTGGTGAAATGTTATTTTACGAGGTGCTTCTGTGAGGATGTTAAGTGCTTTTGCCATTTCATGTGGTGCCTTTACCATTACATGCGGTGCCTTTACCATTACATGCGGTATTATTACCATCATATGGACTGCTTTTATCATTATGTGCGGTTATATCACCATTTAGTGCGGTGCTTTTACCGTTATACGCAGTTCGATGACCCTTTTGTGCAGTGTTTTTATCATTATATATGGTGCATTTACCGTAATATGCGGTGCTGTAGTCATTACTTGCTGTGCTATCAACGTTATACGCGGTGCTCTTTCATGAAATACTTTATTTTCGACTCTTGCTGTGCATTCATCATTTCACGAGGTGCAATTGTCATTTCACGAGGTGCAATTGTCATTTCATGAGGTGCAATTGTCATTTCGTGAGGTGCTTTTGCTGGCTCATGTCAAATCAGCGGCTTATGTATAAAATATATGAATAATAAATTTTGGAATAAAAATTTGGGAATATAATTATGCAAATTATAATTTGGCGCCAAAATTATACTTGCAAATATGGCGATGGAACATATACTACAGCAATTAAATATGGGGATTTTAATTACAAAATTTCAAGAACAAAGAATGGATCCTTCGGTGATTTTATCGTCTAGCGACAGCGAACTAGCAAGGCTTGGGGTCAGTACGATTGGTGATCGTGTACGATTAAGAGAACTATGTAAAGAAGCTGAGGAAAATACTCGGCAACCGCAATCGGCCATGAGAGTAAGTATTATATGTACGTGATGATGTTTACGTGAATATATCACATTTAATTTTAACTTAATTTGTTCATGCATTGGCAAACGCTAAAAGACTTCAGTAGATGTTGCATTACAAATGGTTTCACCCAGGGCCTATAAGAGAAATTGGGGGGGGGGGG